CCCCCAGCCTGCGTAATGAATCACCGCCATCAGCCGCCATTTATCACCTGATCATCAGCCGCAAACTGTCCATCATGCCCCCCCCCCCGCAGCCACATTACCTGAAATAAACATCCAATGAGTGCTTTGCGTCATCACCTGTGAGCGCATGCGCAGTGCGGACAGAAGCTGGTCCATCTGATCAGCCTAATGGATCCATTTCCCTTTATTATTCATTCATTCATTCATTCATTCATTCATTCATTCATTCCCTGCAGCTCAGAGTCTGACCAACCCTCTGCCCTAACCCCCCCACACACACCCCTCCCTCCGGAGGCCATAGTCATGTAAAGCTCCCCCCCCTCAGAGGAAGCCCATTTGGGACATTTACCTCACATGTAGCCTTTGTTCCATGGAAGACTTTCTAAATAGGTCCCAATAACCCCCCCCCCCCCACCTGCGTCAGGAAGAGCTCCATCAGTCCCAGTAGAACCAGCAGGAACAGAAGCTCTGAACCAGTCTGCCTGTCCTTCCTCTGCAGAAAAACAAAAACATTCCTCCCTGTAAATGTATCTGCAGATTCACTCATCCACTCCACGGGAGCGCGCCCTGCGTGGGCGTCAGCTGCTCCTCACGTCCCTTTATTGCTGCAGAGCGTGAAAACAGTCATAAATCCATGAGGAGCAATAAGGCTCCTACAGCTGCAGCTTCATCAAAGCTTCCTACAGTTTAAATATGCTCAATGCTTTAAAACCTCATTTCAGATACAAACACAAAGACTTTGGTGGTTTTAATGGTTTCACTGGTTTTAGTGGTTTTAGTGGTTCACTCTCCTGAAAGGTTTCTGAGCTTTTAAGCCTCCAGGCTACAATCTAAAAGAAACTTTAAAAACACAACCAGGTTCATATTTTAGTTGTTAAACATTATTTTAAGTTTAGTTAGAATCAAAGAGTTTAAATATTCAGCAGAAAACATTTTCTTTGTTCTCATCGATATTATGATGAAGAAAATGTCCCTTTTTAAGCAGTGGAATAAAAAGCAGATTTATAGTCAGTAAATCAGAGGCTGACTCATTTCCATAACCCCCCCCCCCCCCCCCCCCCCCCC